AATCTGATCAAAGCACCTGTGACAAATCAACATACTGAGTGGTCAAAACTGGAAAGCTTTCACTCCAAAATCAGGAACAAGACAAGGATGTCCATTATCACAACTTTTATTTACTATAGTTCTGGAAACATTAGCCAGAGCAAGAAATAAGCCAGAGCAAGCCTGACAAGAGAAAGAAATAAAAGGAATAAGGATAGGAAAGGAAGAAGTTAAATTATCATTATTTGTGTACAACATCACACTGTACATAAAAGACCACCAAAACTCCACCAAAACACTTGTAGATTTAATAACTAAATTCAGTAATTTAGCTGGATACAAAATCAACACTGAAAAATCAATACCATTCCTGTACACAGACAATAAACTTACTGAGAGAGAAATTAGGACAATAACACCCTTCACAATAGCATCCAAAGAAATGAAATTCTTAGGAATCAATTTAACAAAGGAAGTAAGAGATCTCCTTACTGAAAATTACAGTACTCTGAAAAAGGAGATTGAAGAGGATATCAGAAAATAGAAAGATACCCCTTACTTATAGATAGAAAGACCCAAAATAGTGAAAATGGTCATACTCCTAAAATTGTTATACAGATTTAATGAAATCCTAATCAAAATACCCTAGCATACCTCACAGAACTAGGGAAAACATACCTAAGATTCATTTGGAAACAGAAGAGACCTAGAATGGCAAAAGCAATTCTGGGCAACAAAGACAAGACAGGAGGCATCACAAGCCCTGACTTGAAACTAAATGCCAAATCTACTGTGATAAAATTAGCATGATACTGGCAAAAAAAAACCCAAAAACCAACGGGCTGAGGAAAAGTAGAACAGGTCAGAAGATACAGACACAACTCCAGACACACTCAGCCACCTTATCTTTGACAAAGGGGCCAAACAAGTTCATTGGAAGAAAGATAGCCTCTTTAATAAATGGTGCTGGAAAAACTGGCTTTCCACATGCTGAGAACTAAAACTAGACCCATATCTATCAGCATGCACTAAGTTAAAGTCAAAATGGATCAGAGATTAAATATTAAAACAGCCAGGCATGGTGGCACACACCTGTAATCCTAACACTTGGGAGGCTGAGGCCAGAGGATCTTTGTGAGTTTGAGACCAGCCTGGGCTACAAAGTGAGCTCAAGGCCAACCTGAACTGCATAGCCAGATCCTCTCTCAAAAAGACAAAAATAAATAAATATTAAAACAGAAACACTAAATTTACTGGAAGTGAAGAGAGGTAGAAATCTTGAAGACGTAGGTGTAGGCAGAGAGTTCATGGACAAAAGCCAGATTGCATGGGAAATACTTCAAAGAGTGAACAACTGGGAGCTCATCTAATTAAAAAGCTTTTGCACATCAAAAGAAATCAACAGAGGGAAAAGACAACCCACAGAGTAGGAAAAAAGTTTAGTCAGCTGTCCCACAGATAAAGGACTCATATTAAAACTTATGAAGAATTAAAAAAAGTCAGACCCCCCAAATTCAAAGACCCAATCCAAAAATAGGCATCTGAGATGAATATGCAGGTCTCTGATGAAGAAGTACAAATGGCAAAAAACATCTGAAAAAGTGTTCAACATCATTGGTCATTTGAGAGATGCAAATGAAAACAACTTTGAGATTCCATCTCCCCCCAGAAAGAATGGCTGTCATCACAAAATCAGCCAATAACAAATGCTGGTGGGGTTGGGGGAATAAAGAACCCCTCTGCACTGTTGGTGGGAGTGTAGACTGGTGCAACCACTGTGGAAATAAGTATGGATATCCCTCTAAAAGCTAGAATTAGAGGTCCCATTTGACCCAGCTAGTCCCCTTCTGGGTATCTTCCCAGAAGAATTAAAAACACCATACCACAGCCATGTATGTTCACCCATTGTATCAGTCAGGGTCTACTGGAGAGACAGATATAACACAAGATATACAAATGTACAAGAAATTACAAGTTTGGCTTAAAATGGTCAGCCACAGAGTTGGATGAGGCAGTGTGCAGAGAGTGTCTGAACACTGGAGACTGAAGAGTCCAGTCCAAGGTCTGGAGCTCACTGCAGTGTCCCTGCAAGTTCGTATCAGGAGGCTGATGGGTCTGCGACAGAACGCTGAAGAATCTACAACAAAGGCTGAAGAGTCCCAGGTGGAAGCCAGTCTGCACCAGCAGTCAGCAGACCACCACCAAGCTGAAGGCGAAGACTGGAGCTCCTCTGAAGAACCCCCAATCAGTCCTTCCTCATTTCCCTTTTATTGTACACAGCCCACCCACCCCGAGGGGGGCTCCTTTACACCCACACCATCTCCAGGCCCTCCTCTTGCACAGGATGAATACAACCTAAGGACCTTGGCCCAGTGCTGAGTTCGTAGTTAACCTTCTAAACTTCTCAAGTTGACACAATGAACAACATCCTAGAGCAGTACAAGCATGTTCTTCACACCTAGGATGTAGAACTGGTGAGTTACTTGGTTAAGCTTCTAGACTCCTCAAGTTGACACAATGTAGCCACCATAACACCCCTATTTCTAGCATCACAATTTGTAATAGCTAAATCTTGAAAACAACCCAAATGCCCATCAACCACAAATGAGTAAAAAAGTATGGTCTTTTTTTATAAAATAGAGTACTACTCAGTCATAAAGAGGGGTAAACTTGAGACTTTTATATGTAAATGAATGCAACTTGAGACCATACTCATGAGAGAAATAAATCAGACTCACATGTGTAAGCATTGTATTTTCTGCCTGGAGTGAGAAGGGGGAAGGGTGAATAAGGCCCAAAATGTACAACAGATATTGTGAAATGGGATGAAATCATTGAAAACGAAAAGGAACTAGGATAGAGGATAGGGGAAAGGAAGAAAAAAGGAAAAAAAAACCCAAAATACAAGATAGTTATACTGCTAGTTTCTCTTAGTTCATTGAAAAGAAAGGTTTGTGCTAATATCGTTTGGAGAATATTTTATGCCTATATCTTGTACTCTGAATAGCTACTTTAAAGATAACAATATGCAATGTATTAAGTATTGTTGTTAATCTGTTGTTTTTTAATAAAATTTTGTTTTACTTTTTTTCCATTAAAAAAAAAGATAGGTCAAGGAATCTTGCAGGTCCTCAGAAATCTGGTGACACCTAAAAATCTACATTGGACGCCCCAAGGACTTTGCCCACTGTGACGCAAGACTGCCAGAGAACTTTTTTAGCGTGTGTATATGTGTGTGTGTCTTTTTGAGACAGGGTCTCGCTATGCAGTTCAGGCTGGCCTTGAGCTCACTTTGTAGCCCAGGCTGGTCTCAAACACGCAACGATCCTCCTGCCTCAGCCTCCCGAGTGCTGGGATTACAGGCTCACCGCCACACCGGCCCTGCCAGAGAACTTTGACCACTGATATTTAGTAACAATTTCCCACCTGATGTCCCTTGCCTTCTTTCATTCCCTATAAAAAGGGCCTGCTTCTCTCTCTTCTCTATAGACGGCCTTATCGCCCCTGTCTGCCTGCACCCAGGCATTAAACGGCATGCTCTGTTGCGCTCACAAAAGTCTGTTGAGTGGTCTGTGCCTCACCTTGTGTTCCCTACATCTACCCAGTTTAAAAATCTCCTCTTTTGGAGACAGGGTCTCACTATGTAATTCAAACTGGCCTTGAACTCACTATGTAGCCTAGACTAGCCTCAAACTCACTTCAATCCTCCTTTGTCAGGATCCCAGGTGTTGGGTTTACAGGCATGTACCACCACACCTGGGAAAAATGTCTTATTTTGACACATGGTCTCATTAAGTTGCCAAGGCTGGGCTCAAACTTGCAATCCTCCTGCCTCAGCCCCCCAAGTGCTGGGATTACAGGCATTCAATACCACACCCAGCCAATTTTCTTCTTAAAACACTGTTGCACCAAACACAATGCTTTGCATATACTAAATGTCAAATATATTTTCACCTAAACTCAATCTTCCTTCCCTAACCATTAAATTCCAGTATTTTACTGTCTTGCAAGGTTACTCTTTCTCTCTGCTTTTCCCAATGCCTGAGCTTTTTTGTTTTGTTTTGTTTTATATTTCTGGTTTTTGAGTCAAGGTCTCACTGTGTAGCCCAGGTTGGCCTTGAACTCCTTGTGATCCTCCTGCCTCAGCCTCCCAAGCACAGGCATGCACTGCCACTGCCCCAGGCCAGTGTCCTTACTAACCACCTTTTTTTTCCTTCAGCAATGTGGCATCCATTTTTACATCTTCATTAAAATTACCCTCTCTTATCATAGTGATTTCCTGATTATCACAGCACTGAAATCTTTTTTTAGTTTTCTGATTATCATATAATTGAAATAATTTTCCATTTTGATGTCCTCTCATCCTTTTTGTCTTTTAGTTACATGTAACAACACTTCTCTGTTTTTTCTTTTTTCTTTTTTTTTTTTTTTTTGAGACAGGGTCTCACTATGCAGTAGCTTTAAACTCACTATGTAGCCCAGGCTGCTCTTAAACTCATGGTGATCCTCCTGCCTCAGCCTCCCAAGTGCTGAGATTACAGGAATGTCCCACCATGCCCACCTTATTTCACTTTACATTCGCCCAAGATCCAAGATAGTATTATTTTCTGTTTTTTTTTACTTTCTTCATCCTTTCTTTTCTTCACTAAAATTTCTCCTGCTCTTCATGTTAGGGTAAACTGAGGCACAGTTGAGACCACCAAGGCAGGCAGAGGTTTTTCTCTCCTAGGTGGGCAGGGGTCTTGTTCGGAGACCTGACATCCCTGT